AGGTCTCTCCCCGGAGACTCTGGAGAAAGCCCGGCTGGAGCTGAACGAGAACCCCGACACCTTGCACCAGGACATCCAGGAGGTGCGGGACATGGTGATCACGCGGCCGGACATCGGCTTCCTCCGCACCGACGATGCCTTCATCCTGCGGTTCCTGCGGGCCAGGAAGTTTCAGCACTTCGAGGCGTTTCGCCTCCTGGCCCAGTACTTTGAATATCGCCAGCAGAACCTGGACATGTTCAAGAGCTTCAAGGCCACAGACCCGGGCATCAAGCAGGCGCTGAAGGATGGCTTCCCCGGCGGGCTGGCCAACCTGGACCCAGGAAGATCCTCGTCCTTTTTGCTGCCAACTGGGACCAGAGCAGGTAAATGCGGAGCTGCCCACCCGCCTTAACCCCTTCTTCCCTCGGGCAATGCGTGGGAAAAGCTGTGCCAGACCAGAGAGAGGATGGGTGGGCAGCAGGGACACACCCGGCTCTGCCCACAGCGGGCTGGGCAGCAGCCTGGAAGGCAGAGGGAGAAGAGAAAGAAGAAATGTATTTTGTGGCTTAGGGCCTTTTCAACCTTCTCATCCTTTAGGCTCTGGATTTCGGGAGGCAAGTAGGAACTGCTCGGGTGCTCTTCTCAACTGTCTGATATGAGGTTTACACCCTTCTGCCTCCCCTCAGCCACAGTGAGCTGGCATGGTAGATGATGGTCTTAAACCCCTGACAAAGAATGGTTGCGATCCCTGTGCTGGTCTTTCTGCTTCAGCACACACAGAGCTGCTCACGTGCCATAGGAGAAAGTGGGAAATGCTGTGTGGAAAACAGGAGTATCCATCATGGCTTTTGAGCTGAAAAGTTTGCTAGTGCAGGAAGCTGAGGCTCCAAATCCTTTCCCTCTGCTAAAGAAAGCTCTTCCTGAGCTACCTGGAAATTCCAGGATGAAAGTTACAGTAACGTCTTCTTTTCCCTACTCATGCTGCTCTATGTGAATTCCCTGCATAACAAGATACAAGCCTACAAAACTTTGGTAGCAAATTGAAGGAGGCTAGTGCAGTCCCCGGCACAATTTCTGATCCTTTTTGGGACTACTCTAGCCTGAAGATGACTTAGCAGGCTGACCCAAGAGCTGTCTCCCATCACGGCCCTTTCTTTTAGCAATCGGCTTAATACGGTGTGACACTATTTGGTTATTCTAAATACCTCATGTCCTGTTTCTCCTGCAGTCTAAAATTACAGTCACCAAAATTGCTTGATTTCCCATACATGTAAATGAATGAATCCATTAACAGTGAACTCGCTAAAGCCTACTCCTGTGAGCACTGCATGGCGTCCCTAGGCTCCCAACCTGAGAGCAGTTTTAGCATCTGAAGTACTTCTTAGTGAGAAAACTTAAAATCTTGCTAGTTGCCTTCACATAAACCCAAACTGTGCAGTCAGCACAGGCTAGGCACAGGCAGCGCTGAGTGCTCAGTGCAGATATCCCAAGCTCAGCTATTTTGAAACATGGGGAGGGCACAAACAGCTAGCAGTGTGGATATGAAGGACAAAATTTGGGGGATCAGTATGCTTAAGCCTGCCCTTTAAGTGGTTGTGTAGCTGTCCTCTTGCAGGCTGTGTCGATAGCCATTGCAGGGAGTGACCCCACAGCTCCATGCAGCAGTCGGTGCTACAGCTAGGGATGGGTCTCTGCCCGGAGCGCCGCTGGCCCGCCATGGCTTTCGTCCTCTCCAGACAGGGTGGCCACATCCACGCTGCCTACAGGAAGAGTTTCCTAGCCCTTGCTAACCCGTAAATCATGCCCAGGGACTGGGAGAAAGCTGTCTGGCACAAATCAGTACTGCCTACGACCATGCTGCCAGCTAGAAAGTGTGGATGAACATGCGCACAGCTGGGGCCAGCGTCCTTTCCCTGCTTTGGTTTTCTGGCAGATGCAGTGAAAGAAGCTGAGTGAGGAAGCAGTGGCGATGAGGCTAAGGACTCTCTGAGTGGGCTTCATTTCCCACATAAGGACCTTCCTTATTTCCCACATAAGGATCAGTTCAACTTTTTGTTTTAAAAACAACTCCACAAAGTCTTAAAAATCCCCAAAGGAAGAATTAGCAAAGAAATGAATGTTTAGACCTTTTATTAAGTCATATGCCTCCGATGAAGAAGTTCCCTTGTTACAGGTAATGGGGCCTACTGTGTACCGTTATTTCTCATTAATAAAAAATAAAAAAACAAACCAAAGCTTTCTGTGACACTTTTCAGATCATTAGTTCCTAGTCAAGAGAACACCAAGAATTCCAGTTCAGGGATAAAATAACATTGAAAAAATAATTTCCATGTGAAAAGAGTAGGTTTATTTTCTTCTTAATTTTGGATGTGCTGATATTTAAACTGCATGAGATCAGCTGACACAACAGCAAATTTATTGTCATCTTTTTAATGAAGTCCTATTGGTACAATTATTTATGATATAATAGGCAAGTGACTGGGGTACACAGGGGTGCCTGATGGCCATGTTTGCAGTTGGGTCCCTATTGCTCTTCAGCATGGCCCACCCACCGTACGCCTCTCCTCCAGAGCGAGGGATTTGCTTTAAGATAGACCACTCAGACAAAGAGGAGAGAGCTGAAGCTCAGCTGCGGGGAGTGGCTTGCTCCAAGGCACATGACAAGTCAGTGACAGATCTGGGAATGGAGCTAGGTCACTTTCTTTTCTAATTAATTGTCTTCCATTATCTGATGTTCGGCAACTGAATCTGGGGAGCATTGTGTATGGAATGTATACTGGAGCTGCTACGCAGTATGTCTCAAGCTTATGCCTTAACTGGCTTGTGATCTTACAGTATGTAAACCAGTGCTCCTCTTCCAGCAACACTGGGAGGATTGCTTTTTGAAGTCTGTCTTGTTAGGACCTCTTTGTATGCTTCATAAACTAAGTTAATAGAGCATGTGTGTACAACTTATTATGGCCAGCATGTAACAATTAGAAATAAAAAGTTCCAATTTGTTATTTAAATGAATAGCAGACATACTATAGATGATTTATATAGCACCGGCAGCCTATGATTTACATAGTTCCCATTAGAAAGAAAAGCGTGGGAGGCAAAAAATTCCTATGATAAAACAAGCCTGCGTACTAGATGTTAAATCATTAAATTATAGCAGGGCCTGAAAACCGTACCAGATGTCCTACCATCTGAACAACTGAATCAGACATGTATTTAAAACAAACAAACAAAAAAAGGAAAGGTGAAGGATAATGCATTGAGTAGCTCAGCAGCTTTTCAATGGGACCCTGCCTAACTCTCCATCCTGTCAAGGTGGGGGCAGTCCTGCCAGGAGGCTGGATAGCACTCAGGGAAGGGTCAGCCTTCCTTATTAGCTTCCAGATTGTTGATTCATAACTACATTTGGCTTGTAGGTGTGTGCATGCATTTGAAGACTACTTTTTCTTAACGTGTCCAGCTGGTGAAGTTTTTTTCATTTAATGGCACAATTAACTTCAACTCTCAGAGGCAAGGGATCTGTTGTCACACATGTACTTCTATATGCTTTGTGGCACCTGTACACAAATTCCCCAGGAAAATCAGTCCATTTTGATGATACTTATTTGAAATCTTTCCCTGTGTTAATTATCTCAGAACTTTTCATGGAAAGTGCAATAGAAAAGTGTGGTAGAAAAGTGCGGTAGAAAAGTGAGGTAGAAAAGCGCAGTAATGCCTCATTCCTGTCTGTGTCACAGTGACCCAGTCAGCTCACACCATCCTCAGTGAATATGCAAAACCACTGCTCTCCTTACCGTTAGCTCTGCTGTTGCATCAGATGATTTACAGCAGGGCAAAGACGGAGTCCACTGGTTTGCTTTCAAAGCTATGCTTTCATGTGTAGAAGTGCTAGAAACTTTTCTTTTCCTCCCATTAAATCAAAATTTAAATTCTGTAGCTATTAGGAGGCTGGTCTGCTCCTCAACTCACTATTAACCACAGGCGAATTGGCAGGGTATTTTTCAAGCTCTGATGGAGACAGTGTAGCAAAATAAACAGCAATGCTAACAATAATAACATAATAACAATAACAAAATACCTGGATAATAAAGTCAATTTTTGTTTGGAAGTAATGTCTTTCAAATAATAATTATTAACTAGTGCAAACGCTGTCATTTTTTCTATAGATTCTCCCGCTGACTGATGCTGTCTTATTGTTTCCTAGCTTCCCCCCAGGTATCCATATCTGCCTATTATCACTTGTATTTAGACTGTGAATGTTTTGGCTAGGGATCTTTTTGATCAATGCTAATACAAAATTTTGATTGGCTGAATCTTTGTCCGTGGCTGTGACTGTTAGACACTGGGCTAACATAAGGAGTAATGAATGGTATTAAATCTGAATCTAAAAGCTAATCTGGTAAAATATTTGAAGCAGTTTCTATTTTTCTGTGCATTTTTGTAACACTGGTGGTGCTTTTTGGTTTTAGAATAAGGGCCCCCAGGGCATGCTGCCACTATTTAAGCAGAATAGCTATAAAAGAAGTTTCAATCTCCCATCTTTTCAGCACTCAAATCTGTACCCAGACTGACAAACCAAGGAGATTTGAGGCATCATTTCTAGGTACTCCTTTGTGTATCTTGAGGGCTCTTGTTTCACTGAAATGCTAAAAATATTAAGCCAGAGCAGTAGGTCAGAAATAGGATGATGGCTCAGAGACTTGACCAGCTTTCTCTTTCAAATCACAGTGGCACAAGAGCTCATTTGACAGAAACCTTTACTTGTCCAAATGGTGATGAGCTTAAAATACAGATTGTGGTGTTCCTTACATGTTTGGGACCTTCAGGAGACGGGGCTGAAATTCAAGCAAAGACGACCTACCATTTATCTCTTCTAGTTAACAGTTTGCATCCTGAGAGGCAGACTTATGCCACTCAGTTTTAATTCTCAAATTAACTTGAAATTTCTTGATATGGGGGGGAGATGGCAAATAGCAGTAGAGATAGTAGGGCAAACTCTGCCAAATCAGATTATCAGTTATTGAGTGCAAATGTGAATCGGCTGGAACCAGAGTCTGGTTAAACAGATGATACGGTGGATGCCACCCATCATCAAGAACATAAAATATTGGAAACAGCTGACACAGCTGGATTTGACATGAGACATCTATTCCCTGCATTCTTCCTGTCTCTTCTCTTTCTGTTGGCCTGGTGGAAATCACAGTGGCCTCTGGGAGTGAAGAGGATGCATAGACCACATAACCAAGAGGCAAAGGTGATCAAAGATCACAGTGAAGTACTACCAAGAGTTGATAGCAGTGTCTGCCAGACTGGTTTTCCCAGAAATCCTTGGAAATACTTTGAATCTATTAATGTCCTGTAGAAAATTCTCAAAGAACTTTTCTGTAAAGGGGAAATTGGTGCCAGTGTTAAATTACAAGAGAGAGGGATGCTCAGTTAATTGTTTGAGCTGTTCTGTTCTTGAGAAATTGAGACCTCAGTGAGGCATTACCCTAGAAAGCTCTGTCACTGTCGTGGTAGAAATGGTAGCCAGCCCGAAGCATTTGAAGGAATCGCTGTCAGTGTGCCTATTAACTTGTCAAGCCTTCCCAGGCTGATTGCTTTAAAGTCAACCGGAATGAAGAATTTCAAGAGGTAGTAGAGTGTGTCTGCACACCAGTCCCCACCTCATTTGAACTCAAGCTGGGACTCACATAGAAAAGGAACATTAAGAGTGCATTATCTATGTGATAACATATTTCCAGCATTTGTTATTTGTATTAAAAACTGGGCTAAAAAAGTTGTCTAAGCTCTCCATTGAATTAAGCATGGTTCTATAAATAGAGGGCATTAAATACATTTAAATTAACTGTGAGTTCTTGATTATCCTAGCAATTAGTAATACCTTGCTAGCTACAATATGTCCCATAAGAGTCTGTTTAAACAAGTTAATGCAACTGAATTTAGCCATAAATAAATAAGGATTTATTTCTGCACAGCCTAACTCCCCACTACTGCAGCTACTGCAGTGAATCAGGCCCAGCACACCCTACGTACCTGACAGCACTGGAGCAATCATAGTAAAACTGGGGCCAGGGCAAAATGAGCGGCTTGCTGTTCCCTAAATACACGCTGTTACTTAACACACGTTGGTAAGAATAAAACAATACCATGTTTCCCTCAGACTGGACACCATGGCCTCTTAAAATTAAAGGCTAATACGTTGATTTTTTTTCTTTTTTTCTTTTTTTTGTTTAAAATAGAAAGGCAGTCAAAGCCATCTTCAAAGCCCATCTTGGACCAAATTTATTTCACACTATCTTATCCATTTTTTCTCACTTTTGATTGGTTATATTTCTGTATCTATATGGAAAGTAATTTCAGCGTGGAATAAAAGTTTCAGCACCACAATCCAGAGTAATTTTTTCCACCTTCTTTTTATGTAGGATTTTCATTTCCCTAAAGTCCAGCCAAGGATGGAGTGTATGTTATGGCAGAGCTTGTGCATCCTGATGCTGATGTGAACAGTAGTAGCAGTGAGGTGAAATGTTGGACAATATGGGGCTGGAGTGGACTAAAGATGAGTCTTTATGCAAATAACTCTGTGCTGTGTGAAAGCATCAGTATAGTTTCTTTAATCATCTTTTTCTTTAATTTGCTTGGGCTGTTTAGCTGATGCTTTCAATACTCACCTTGACATTTGCAGCACCTATCTATCACATCAGGTTTACATTTCTGGCTTGCCTCAGCATATGTCCAGAGTAAATGTTGCTTTAAATATCCACTAATGGATTTGTCTTTCTTGTCTGGTTTTCTGTACTGTATTTAAGTAAGGTATCAAAACCAAGAGAAGAGGTCCATTACAGAATGAAGGATAGCTCCTATCTTCAACTAATTGCCCTGAAAGGTATTTGAGGTGGGAAGCTTGGTTGTTAGTGACATGTCCCCGTATACTCCTGATGTGGCTTTTGAGTACTTCAGATACCTTCCTCTGGCAGAAAGTGTTCTTGCTTGCTTTTAGCTAGACCTGTGTTCTACAGGACTTGTTTTCACTGAGAGGATAACCTTTTGTCTTTTTCAGTGGGTGAACACTTTTTCAGTGGGTTTACATATATATATCTATATATTTATCACTGAGGTAAATATAAAAGCATTTTATGGCCAGTCTTAGAGGCGTGACTGGCCTCATAAACAAAGAATCATTATGCCTAATGCACCAGATTTCTAACAGCCTTGTGCCACCAAGGAGCTGTTAATCCAAGGCATGTGATGTCTTCTTGAACTCCCTTGGGAGGACATTAGAGATCTACATCAGGAATTTGGGACCCATCTTCTTGGACTGGATGTAAGGTGCTTGCAGCAGCTTTCTGCTTTGTGGAGTTCTTCTGGAAAATGAGATCCTCTGAATGGGGCAGTATAAATGTCAAGTGGGGTTGAGGCTAGTTTTAGGATTTGGGTATTTCTAATGTCTGTTTCTTGTATGAGATCCGATAGATGATATTCCTCAGACTGAGGCATTGATGCTCTCCCAATGTCTCACATGATGTAATTTCCTTCCCTTTGCAACCTTTTCCCTGGGAAGGCCTCTTACAGGGTGTATCTCCATCTAATTTCGTGAAGTGATTAAAAAAATCTCCACCGCCTTGTGGAGGTAAATGGTGGGCTCAAAGGCAGTTGGCCACACTCTGAGCTGAACTCTGACCCTGCACATGACCCTGTAAGCCTCCTTCCTTCAGGCTAAGTGCGTGTTTTAATCCTGATGCTGGCAGTTGTACAAAATGCAGATCGTACAGGGGATTTTTAGTTCCCACGTTGATTAGGTGCCCTCCACTGTCCATGCACCAGTGTTGTACTGTATAGGTAGACTGGTCTGCAGATATGCCAGGCAAACTAAGACCTTTTTAGTGCCAGTAAAACCATCTATAGTCTTCATGCTGCCAAACACTCCTTACACATCCCATTTTACATGCGCAAGCTCGTTTGGGAAAGACCTGATGAATGATTTAATTTTTCCTCAGGTTGCTCGTCACACTGTGGTGCTGGGGGTGTGTGTTTGCTTTTTCAGAGGCCTGAGCAGTGACAGTGGCATTTTCACCACGCGTCCAGCAGTTGAGCTTGGGGGAGCTGCTCTGTCTAGGAAGAGGGGGAGCGTCAGCCACGTCATGCCAGAGGTGTTGGTTCTGCCATGCCAGCCCCTGTGCCCCTGGGGAAGGTTTGTTCAGGGCAGGCAAGGGTGCTCCAGGTTTGCCCCAGTGTGCCTACTGCAAACACAGGGTCCTGGCTTAACAGATCTTTGATGATCAAATTGCACTAACAATTTTAAGGAGCCAGGTTTTGAATGTTTTCCTTCAAAATAGGTTTTAAGGCATGTCCTTTTCCCCACCACGGACAAAATTCCATTTACAGAAATGGTCTTTTTTTTTTTTTTCTTTTGTTCTGCCAAAAGGAAATAGAGGATTTTAGCGTTTTGAGGATTTCCATAGGGAAATTACAGAGAAGAATTTTTCTTGTGTTGTTTCTGATCCCAGTTGAAAAAACCTGAACAAAAAAGAGGGATCATGCCAAACTTCCTGTAAACCTTAGATCTCAGAGAAGTAAAGCCTTAGATAAAAGTTATATCTCAGAAAAGTGAAAAGGAGATGAGTGAATAAGAAAACTTTTATCACAGTCAAACAAACCAAATTCAAAACAAAATAAGGGTCTCCAAAACAAAGAGAAGAATCAAGCGAAAAAATGCCTCCCCCAATGTTTTCTGGGAAAAACACACTTTCTCTTGTTCACTTGTGTTAGGCTGACATTAAGAGAGTCCTTTTCTAGTCCCTTTCCTAGGAACACATAGTTGGGAAGTTCACTGAGTTTTAGTTGGCTAAAAACCAAAAGATGGAAAGATGCGAGGAGTCAGCTAGAGCAGATTAATTTCATTTGTGTTATTTCCTTTTACAGATACTTTCAAAAGATAGTTATGTACACAATGGGACAGTGCACTCGTATTAAAGCAAGTAAAATTTAGTATAATTTAATGTAATTTCTAAATAGGCACACATGCTCTTTGCTGTGTATGCAGTACGATAAAGATTTCTCTGGGGACTCACAATTTTGAGAACTTTTATGTTTGATGCCATCATGGGAGATTTTTAAAGGACATTACTTAAAAATATCTGCACAAACACTGAAGATTTAACTCCTTCTTTTGTTCCTGGAATATTTGCTTATCTGATATTTTTCTGGTATGTACATTGCTGTATATATTTAAGATACTCAGCTGCTGTATTAGGTGCTTTAGCTTCAAAAAAGAAAGATTATACTCAACAGGGCTTGGCAATATGTAATTATGTCTTCTTTTACAAGATCATTGACCTAAGAAAAGATTATGTGCATATATGTAAAACACATAATTACATATTGTAGGTGGCATCTTTGTAAACCCAAATTTAACAGAAAATTCTAGGACTGATTAATACCATGTTCCAAACTTACTCCCCAAACCACATAATTTGGGTATACAAAGTACTCAGAAGGCAGTAACTCTTCAAAGGTTGCTATTGCTCTTAACCAGAAACACCTCAAAGCCCTAGTGTGTGTTACTTTCTGCTTTCAAGATCCTTGAGTAATCCGCTTTCTGTAATACCCTTTATAGATTTAGGAGAAAACGTTACCCAGAGAGAGGGACAAGAGGAGTGTGTGGAAATCCCTTTTTTAGCTGATAATTTTGTAGAAGCTGTTATTTCAGTCCCTTGGAAAAATATAAGATGAAACTTTGGGTCTAGGCTTCTGGTGTCAGACTCAGGTTTTGGTACCGTTATGATTTTAGAAAAATACAATTTGCATAGATATGTTTGTACAGACATTTAATAAAATGCATAGATATTAAAGAACATTAGGAGACTACAGAAAAATTCAAATTTGCTTTTGGTGTGTTATATTCCCGTTTGTTCTGGCTGGTTGATGGTCTAGATGTACATAATCCTGCTCCAGAGGATGAGTTCAACTAACTGAGCTTTTGAGACTTTGCCAGCTTTACATACCCATGACTTCTGAGGATACGTTTGCACTCCTTTGATTTAGACTTTTGACAAGCAGTACAAAGGAAGAACGCTCAGAACTTCTCCATGCCCGTGGTCATTGCTCCTTTCCTAACCGAATCTCCCCTTAACATTCACAGGTACACACTGGTGGATATTTTGCGCGCCATACTTCTTTCTTTAGAAGCCATGATAGAAGACCCCGAGCTTCAAGTGAATGGATTTGTTTTGATTATAGACTGGAGCAACTTCACCTTCAAGCAGGCCTCCAAGCTCACACCAAGCATGCTTAGATTAGCCATAGAGGGCCTTCAGGTAACCTTCTTTTCTTTCTTTTCCTGATTCTCCTTAATTTTGCAGTTCATTACAAATCTAGGTGGCTAAAAAAACCCAAACAAAACAAAAATCCAAGAACTTCTGAATAGCAAGGTGATTAACACCTTAAGGTATGGGCAGACAGACAAGCTTCAGTCTCAAGCTAATGCATGAACTCAGCTCTAAGTGCAGTAACTCCTGGTGTTTAGGCTCCTTCTTTGCCGTAAATAAGAGGTAACTTTTCTGTCTTTATTCCAAAGTGGCTGGCTTCCTGTAAATTCAGACCATAGCTGCTGCAGCAACAAGTTAGAAGTAATCAGTTTATCTTGTCATTTTGCACAGGGCTAATGAAATATGGGTTGCTGCTGCCACGCCAGGTTGGTTTTTTTTCATTGATTCCACTGGAGACAGGCTCTACATCATTTATCCTGAAAAGTGCGGGGCACTGTGATTAGGCAGTTAGCTGGGACTATTTACTTACTGGAAGTTCAGCATGTGCTTGGCTCTTTTGCTGGGTCAGGATTAATTTGAGCAGCAGCTTCTGGAACTGAGTACACAATGATTTAAATTTCTTTCTGCTCATTTTAAATGCACTTTACATGGCACAGGCACATTGGAGGAAAGGATACTACATAACTCTTGGCTGTCTCCTATGATGTTTAATGCTTATTTAAATGAAAAACCAGAATCTGTAAAGTAGTTGTTTGCAAGCTTGAGTTGCTGTGTTAAAAATACCAGTAATTCACTCCTGTGGCAGTATGCCTTGGTTTTACAAGGACATATATTCCTTTTCTGTGATGTTTTTATGATTTATACATTTTTATTACTCATAAAACAAAATAACAGCTTTATCTTTGAACTTTCTTCACTTTGATATTGCTATTTTTGAAAAAACTTGTATAGCAGTAGTATGGAGTTTTGATCTAAATCTTGAAACGGCTTAACCGTATTCAGCCTGCTGTTGCACATGGAAGGGTAGTGACAGTCATGAGACAAAGATCTAAATTTTCATTTTGTTGTGTTTCTTTATGCAATGGTGTGATTCCATGGTCTTGAGAACTACATCAGAAGGCAGCAGTGAGATTTGTACTCTAATAGTGCTGCATTTCCTTTTATTGCTTTCAAAGTTGTTTTCTTTTTTGTGCTACTTTTCAAAGTTAGCCATTGTTTTCTTGTTTTTAACATTAATAAATACTTTAGTAGTTTTTGTTTTTAAATGGTGGTGTTTCTTCTTGGACATTAGTCAGAGACAGTTATTTTGAGGAGAGCTGCAGTGGATAGTTGCATCAGAACATATGATGGATGACCTACCAAACTTCAGGTAGGCTCTGAGACTCTGTGTTCTCCTGCCATCAACTGGTTCATTACTGAGCTGAGGTGAAGTCTGTTGGCTTAACTTACCCGTGCCCCCAGTTTTGTATGTTTGAATATCCCAAGTCTGATGGTGGCTAGAACCCAGGGCATCATTTTGTGCCCACTGTCTTCAGTCCTGTTCACTCCAAAAATGTAAAACTGGGCATGAAATGCTCCAGAAGAGGGAATGAGAAGGCACTGAAATGGCAAATGTGAGATAAAACTCTCCCAGTGCTCGAGGAATCTGTCCTAATCTGTGACAGGTATTGTTATCTGTAAGCAGCAACTTTTACAAGGCCTTTTACCACAAGTCTTTTGAAGAAATCAATTAGTTGGGCTCTCATAATACAGTGATTAATTTTCTGTGGAGAACCACTAAGGGAATGAGGGCTAACATTCCTATACTAGCAAAATTGGCTGACTCTCTAGTGATATTTTCCCAGTAGTTATACTACTTGGAGGGTTGTTTATATTTATTTTCTTTTTTTTTTCCCTCTTTTTCGTTTACTTAGACATTTTTCTATGTAAAGATATATTAGAATCAATGGAAGCGACTAAAGACAACTGAACTGAACATCTTGGAGGGAGAGCCTCACTTCAAAACCAGTTGCGATCAGGGAGGAAATAAGAGGAAAGCATGGCGGAAAGGTGGTACAGAGAGACCCTGGGCAAGGCACAGGTTTATTTGCACCTTCTTGCAAGATTTCATGCCTGAAATGTTACATTCCCTTACCCTCAACAGGGACTGTTTTTCTTTTATTTTGGACAAAATTGTGTAGCGGAAACATCATTCTGAATGATGTCAAAGTAAAAAGTGCTTAGTCAGGTGGTATGAAAAAGAACAAGAACAACTCACACACACTGTTTATTTATGATCTTTGTAAATACTCTCTATTTATTCAGAGAAATGGAATTTACTTTGGCTTATAAGATTTAACAGGGCTCAAGATGCTGAACTTTACCATTTGGGGAATTTAAATATTTATGTTACTTGGGTGGAAAGGGGCAGGGAAAGTGGGATTAGTGACCACTGAATTTGATGTTAACCAAATCCCTTTGCCTCCTGAATGAAATCTACTAAATTTGCATTATATTTGCTTAACTTCCATGGTGAGCAGAATATTCAATATGGTACATACCAAAGAGAGTTGATTAGAAGCTACGGCATTTATGGGCTCTTCTCAACGGCTTATTTTTTAGGAAAATGCTTTTGAAAGTAAGATAAGTAAATATATATAGTTTTCTACTGAAGACAAGTTCTGCTATACACTTGGTCTGCATAGTTATGTTAAATGGCAACATGAAAAGAATCATACCCCTGACTGACTTGTATACATTAGAAAAACCTCCTAGGTAGTTGTTTTCAGGAAAAGAGCCTTTTGGCCGTGGAATTTTTAATGTTCAAGGACAGTGATTATCTGTAAACTAACGTGAATTTCCAGCATATCCATCCCAACAGTGCTGTACCAACCAATTGGTGCAGTGTAGGTCAGTGCTGATTTTTAGATCAAATGGTTGTGCTAGCCAAGATGCGAAATCCTCCTGTGGCGGTTGCGGCACTTAGCTGGGACTCTTGATGCTCCCATCCTAGCTCATACACTGGTCTTGTGCTTTTGGAAAAAAGCAGCAATACTCTTCCCTCCCAATGCTGGTGGCTACAGCATTTATGTTGCTCCTCATCACTGAGAAGGAGGATTTGCACTTAGAGCCCCTATACCTTCCGTAGTGAAGTATAAGAACATAAGCAAATGCAACATGTAATACTCTATTTTCTGAGAAGGGTCTGTCTGGATTGGGTGCCTAGGAGTACCTAAGAGGTCAGAGCTGTGAAACCTGAACAGAAGGAAAACATTCTTTGAGAGGTGAGACTGAAACCCATGTCCTGACTTCAGCACATTGTGTTGGCTCTCCCCAGTGTATTCAGCATGCAGGTGTTTGTGAATCCCAGCCTTTAGGTGCCCACTTCTCCCTATTCATTGATTTCTGTAGCCAAGCACTGATTTTCAGCTTGTGAAGGAGCTCATGTTACTCAGCAGCTGGGTTCCTGAAACCAGGGAGTGTTACAGCATTGTGTGCTGCAACACCTCAGTGCCTTGAATAAGTCCCTTTCAAAAACTTTGAAAAAATTTGCAAAATTTTGCCTCTTTCACCAGCAAGGGGATACAATCTGTGTGCTTCAGCTACTTTTCCCATAGAAAGGAGAGCTCTTGAGAGCTCAGAAGAAAACCAGTCCTAAATTTCCATAGACAGTGATGAACTCTAAGCTCTTACCACACAAGAATCACACCTTGATGTTATGGTCTGATAAATAGTTCTATGAAAATATCATCTCAATACATAATGTTAGTCTAAAAAGCAGATTAAATGTTAGGAATTGTAAGGAAAGGAATGGAGAACAGGGAACATGGTGAAGCCACAGCAAAAATCTGTACCATCACTCCCATCTTGAATGTTGGGGACGCTTCTGATCTTCTGTCTCAGAAAGACTACTGTAGGACTGGAGAAGGGTGAAAAATCCCAAAAGGTATGGGCTGGTTTCTGTGTAAGGAACAACTAAGTTGGCTGGGATTCTTCTGCATGGAAGAAGAAAAACTGTGGAGGGAAACTACAGGTATTTATAAACCCATACCATCACAGGATATTTTGGGTTAGAAGAGACCTCAGGAGATCAGCAAGTTCAACCTCCTGCTTAAAGCAGGGTCCCTTATGAGGTCAGACCAGGATACAAACAAGGTCATGGGTGGCTGGAGAGAGTGGATAAGCTGCAGATATTCTTTGTTACCTCCATTTTAAGAAATGGGCATCATCAGATGACACTGGCAAGAGGCCTGGCTCTTTACGTGACATCGTGATTCTTTGTACAGTATCTGGGTGATCTGTGGAAGTCCTTGCCGTGGGAAATTGTGGGTGCTAAAAGTTTAGTTGTGTTCAGGGAAAATGTATAAGGTTATGGAAGAGAAACGAACTGAGGATTACTAAATATGTAAAAACCACATCAAAGTTCAGAATTCCTCGGGCTGCACATAGCTGGAGGTGAGGTGAATGCTGAGTGGAAATATCACATATGCTCTCTGTATTGTATCTGCTCTAGGCTTTCATTTTTGGCCTCTGTTAAGGACAGGGTATGGAGTTAGATGGATTTTTGGTGGGACATAATTAAATCAAGTGTATATTCCACCCCCCTTCCCCACCTTTTTAATAACCTTTCTTTCATTTTACTGTTCCTGGCACCTTCTGCCTGAACACTGAGCTGGTAACACTCGGGCAGAAAGAGGGAAGGGTTCTGGGTATGATTCTTTCCTTTGTGATAGTCCTTTTATAGCTACCTATATGGGCTTTTTATTAAGTATCAAGAAACAATTGTTTTCACAAAGCAGGTAAAAACAGTGTCAAAGACAAAAAAATACATTTGAAAATCATATTGAAAGCTGGGTTTTATTACTAACTCTGACAGACAGCTTTGGGGGTAATTATACATGAGCTTTGCAAAATGCAAAGTTGCGGGTATGCATAAGACACTTTAACTGATTAACTGATATTTAGGATTCTAAAACCTGGAACACTAAATCCTTCTTAAATACTTGATTTCTATTTAGCTCATAATGGTAGTTGCATACATGACAGATTTGTTTTGCATGTTGTCACTC